CACGCTCCGTCGAGACTAGTTAAATCCCAAGTGTCGATTACTTTCTGCTCTCCCGCAGTAGTCGGCACGACATTATCTTAAAGAAAAATAAATTCATTATAACTTACAATGAATGCACTACTTGATGCAGCCAATCAAAATCATGATGCATCTCACGAACATTGACACCATCAGCTGATACTATTGGTTTTCCTAGTGCTTGCCGAAGCTCATGTGTTGTGTTCTGCCCAGAAATAGTAACATGAGTTACAATCAAGTTTACCACATAAAATTGAACCTTGCATGCCTTCACAAAAGTCATTAGGTAATCTAAGAGATCTTTAGGAATCTCGGGTAAGGCATGTCTCTTGTGCATGGCAATTTCATCCAACTCAGCTTTTGTGAAAATGCCCTCTGTTACATAAGTTGTGTCTTTAGGATCCAGTACAAAACTATGACATAAACTTACAAATGCAATGTGAAAAGTGGACAATGTAAAGATGAATTAGTAATACTAATTATAATTGCTTACTGTTCATATTAATATGTGCATGCATCCAAACTCATACAGAGCATCCTCAACCACCTTGCCAGTTGACAAGCACTACTTTTTGCTGTCTTCCATCTCTGCATGAGCTCTTGCAAAGCTTTTGAAGCTTGCACTCATCAGCTCGGACATTATGCATTTCCCTTCCTTTATCAACCTCTGTTTTTTGAGGGGTTGCTCTCTTGTTCTCTTTGCTATCTCAGATGGAGAATCATCCCCACTATCAGTCTCCAGATCAGACAGCTCACTGTCATCATCACTCCCCTCAGTCTACAATCCAAACCAACAAGTTAAGTAAAATATTGATGAATTCAAGCCTCCACCCTATAGACAACTACATCTTCTCAGTAATCACATACACTTGTATTATAAAAGACTTCATCATTATTTTCTTGCTTGTGCTTTAAAAGTGATGTGTTTACAGCTTTATCCTGGTCATTTTTTTCTGAAGCATGCACTTCTGGTCTTGTCTGTAAATGATATTGCACTGAAATTAGATAGTTTTCATCTTTTAATTTGTTTCATTTTGCAATTGTCATATCAGTATGCAGTTGACATTCTCCAATACACGCATTGACGTTTTCGATGGCTGTTTCAAAAGTTTTGGTGTAGTTGTGTGTAATGGACTGGGCAGCATCCATCTACAACCATAAAAATTAGTCCATGTTTTGTATGTTCTGTTGGGTAAGACAATTTTTGCTTACAAACCTCCATCATGCGTAATTCATTGCACATTTCAACTTTTTTCCAAAATATTTGAAGAACTCACGATGACCCTATAACTCACAATTAGTATCGATTAGTATTGTATATAGCAAGAGGTATGACTGGAGGCAGCACAACGGAGACGCACTCCATAAGATGTGCAAGACGCACTTGCCACCGTAGTTGTGTGGTTTCCAGTTTCCCACAAGAGAGGTTATTACAACCTCAACTTGCAGTAACGACAAGCCATCAGAAGGCCAGGGTGCACCATAGCCCTCCCTAGTCGTGTTAAGCCTACCTCTGCTCCCAGCCATACAAACGTGACGATAGAACACCAAAGAAAAAAACTTGCCTTAAAACTCCTCATCAGCTGAGCTGCAGCCTTCTGCGCTTTTTCTGGGCCATGTTCGACAAGACATTCAAGATCTTTCTTTAATCTGTGAGCTTTATCGAAGGAGGCGAAGTCGGGCTGCCTCGACCGGTATTCGTAATAACCCAATAAGCAGTAGTCTTCGGGTCGCGTTTCGTCGAAATAAGCGGACCATAGGAGCAGGTAGATTTCGGTTCGTGCTTCGAGTATTGTAACGTTTTCCCCCGCTCATACTTTGACTAAAGTAACTCGACCCGTTCTAGGCAAATTTGTGATAATCTACGAAAAATTTTTTATCACTGTAACACGCGCATTTTAAATGGGGCATGCTGCAACAAAACCAGACAAAGTGAACATTTGACGTCAGGTACAGGTTAGCGTGAGGGATGACGTTCTAGATTTTCCCATTGCTGTTATCCCTTCTGTTACCAGGATAGTTGAAATTAATCAGAGAAGAGATATTTTGCTTTAATTGCTGATATATCGACCTTGCATAATATAGAACTCGTAGTGATGAAGGATATTTTCTCTAGGGTATGCCATTTCAGAATCTGACAATCACTCATTCTTGAAAATTTTAGTTTAATATTGGCAGGCTAATCTTCATTAAGATCTTGAAAATGATACAAAGTAAGCGCAAACCAAGCGAACAATAGTTATATCGTTAATTTTCAACTTTAAGCACTAATTTGTCACTAGATTCTTACAACAACGAATTACCACTAAATTTTTTATCACAATTTTTTCAACGCTCAATAAGCGATAAATAATAAAGCGCCATTAAACCAATACAAATTTTTCTGACAATTTAATGCTAAACAGCAATTAACGCAAAATTTCCGCAAGATTGGGCCCAAATTTTTTTGTAGAGTATATGCTAGAAATAATTATCTCCATCCAACTATAAGCAATCCTCTTCCTATGATACTCCCATGCCCTCGCACCGGAGCCATTCTAAACAATTTGTAACACTGTTTTCTTTGCGATTCGAGCTTGAGCTTTTCTCAAAAACATTCTGGTTACCCCATGTTTGATCCAGATGTCCACATTGCAGGAAATGTCAATTCTGTGCAGAGATATATCGTCAATAAATAAACAATTTTTTACAATCATAAACTGTGGGTTTCTGTAACTTACTTCCCTGGCAGTGGAATTTCAGCTTGGAAGGGCCCTGAAGGGATCGAGTCGATGATCAACTTCCCGGAAGCTGAGTTGTTCACAAATTTCCCCTTGATGGATATGAACTGATCGTCATCGGCAACAGCAATCTCAAATTCAGTTTTGTCTTTGATACCCGGAGTAAGCAAAACTATGCAGAAAGCTTGGCTGCGACAAGAATTAGATGAATCGGACATGGTAACCCATGATTAATCAATTAAAACAAACCTGTCTTCGTAGAGCCTATACGCAACATTGGTCTTGTTATCTTGCAGTTGTTCAGTGGAGCTGCCAAGAATACCTTCGGGCAAGTCATATGTGACGTCTGCCTTACTGTTCTGCGACTGCTTCAATGATTTGCTGCCTTTGTTAAATTCATACTTGCTACCAGTCTTGCTGTCTTCGCCAAGTTCGCATGTGGCAGATTCCTTGCTGTCTTGCGGCCATTTTGGTGAGTTGCCAGTCACCTCCTCTGCCATCTGAGGGTGAAAGAGGGGGGTTTTAGTGATATAAGCTTGACTCAAATATAGCACTTATAATGATATAACAAAAGCAGTTTACCAGGGACGTCATTGTCGCTCTTTCTCTTTTAGTTGTGGCAATGCCCAATGCCTTCAGGTTCCAAGTGAAATATGAGAATGAGTATTGAGTAATGTGCAGCAGAGTCTGTTTAAAGCGCTTACCTTCCCATACTCCACTGGTCTTTTAGAATTGAAGTATAGGGCATGAGAAAACTTTACATTGCCATCCCTACCCTCCAGTGCATCAAATAGCCTCCCATTCATTTCATGGTAGAACTGAGCAGCTTCCATCTGTGTATCGAAATGAAGATGGCCATATCTAAAAATTCACCAGCATGACCATAAGTGAGAACATTCTAACAGATTTCAAAGCTACTAACTCCACTTACCCATTTGCAGCTTCTTCACAATATGTCGAAAGGGAACTGGACTAAATGGTTTTAGCCATTTTTCAAGCTGGGTATAACTGAAGCCACAAATATCCCCTCCAATCAATACTGATTGCTCTGGTTTCCCACAGCATAAGAACTTGCGATAGACTGGAGGGGAAGATGTATTCTCTGTAGGATAGAACATTGTGAGAAGAGAATTATTGCACTCCAACAAATGGAGGGTTATTGCACTCCAACAAATGGAGGGTTATTGCACTCCAACAAATGGAGGGTT